CCCTTTCTTCATGTGTTCAATACTTTTTCCCTGCGTCATTCCACTTTATTACAAATAACTTCATTTTTGGACATTTATGGTTTGATTTATTTGTATGTATGGATCACTTGGGTTGTTACCAACATCTGGTGAAAATTTCATGTCATTAGCACCTCTAGTACTATATTTACTGAGAAAAATGGTGRCGTGTTCAGTACTTATTTTACTTGCTTTATTTTTGGTAAATTAATCTCCTGTACATCTCAGGCATTTTTACTATTCTTGTGAGACAATTTTTGCTTCAGATCTTGGTCTTTTTTTATTTGGTACGTCTCATTTTATGTCCCATGTACTTTCTTTTTTGCTCATGAACAAAACTTAATTTGATTTCTTATTGCATTTCACTCTTACAAGGCTAAATTCCCAAAACAGGACAGTTTTTTTTTTTGTTTCTTCATTTTGTTTACCTAACAAAAAACAAAATAAAATAAAAAATAAAGCAAAAGATCGCCTAGAAGATAGTCAAGCCTAAACTCCTGGAATTTTCTCTTTCTAACATATCTATTTATTAGTGCAGTGTGATACAGGTTAAGTTTGTGAAAAATGAAAAGCAGCATGAATATTACCTGATGGTTTGATTTAAAGCAAACAAAACGTTTTTTCATGTTGTTTCTTTGTTTTAATTCATGTTTGTAACACAATGTATGTCTTTTTTTCCGATAACTGGGATGGTTCTGGAAGCACCTATTTGATGCACAGTTCAATGGAGCATAATGATAATAAGGGGACATATCATGCAAAATCCACTTTTTTAGCAATTAAATACATTTTGTTGTGTACTTCTCTAGGAGTGCAAAAAAGTTGAATACTGTATTAAAATGTGGTGGGGTTTTTTTGGGTTCTGTAAATCCTCATTAAATTTTTTTTCCTGGTGCTGCGTACATATATTTATATTCTCTTTGGGTCTTATTTTCAGTCTGTTCAGTTTTCTCTATCTTCTATGACGTTTTCTGAGAAAATGTAACACCCACATAAAGACCCCAGCTRAACATTTTAAATGTAAAAATGAAGGATTTAAAACCATGATATGTCTACTTTAAGGGAACATAATGTCCAATTTTAATATTATATTTTATACTTTTATATTTTAACAAGACAACCTTCATTTAATACAATGTCAAACTCTAAATCAGTTAGTTTTTATTTTATATCAATATTTGAATGTGCATTGTTTAATGCTAACTCTTGCTACCACCCTGTCAGTCATGATGTAGGTACAAACACAACAAAAGACCTCTGCTGTGTTTAGAATTCTTATGTCAAACTTTATTTTTACAAATTAAGCCTCTTAAGACTGAGTTTGTTTTCTTTRTTTAAAAACTTAATCCATAGTTAATATTTTGTACTCACTGCTGTTTCACTCTACACTGCTGACCATGTTGTCACAGCTCCAAAAAAAAGTAGCCCGATAAATATTCGGTTTTAATCTTTTTTAATGAATGTACAATCGATTTTTGTTCTTTTGTTGTTGTTGTTGTTTTCTTCAGAAGATGGTGCCGAGTGTCAAAATCAAAATCGAACAAAAAGGCTGAGTACAACAAAGTGTTTGTGTTGATTTTCTGGTTAGAAACCAGTGTTTTATTGTCATCYATTGACTTGTGAGTCAGMTGAATAAATGGTACAAATATGWGTGCACAGACCAGATCCCAACATTTTTTTTCCACAAGCTGATTTTAAAACAAACAAAAAACTCATTAATGTGTTTATTAAATATCAGAGCTTTAGATATTTGTCAGTTACATTTTGGCTTGGTCTTTTCGTTTCCCTAAAACCTATATGAATCTTAATTTATTACAGGTAACTCACTGATTTGCATTGATTGTGGATAAATATCACAAACCCATGATGAACATCTACTGTATRCTACAAGCCTTGTGTTTGGRAGCGGGAGGAGGGTGCATTCGTGGGCAAGACRCAAAAGAAGGGAGAAGCTGCAAAGTCTGTCAGCAACATTCATTCAGTCTTGTCGCAGCTGACAACTGGAGGCTGCTGGCCTCTGATAAACCCTTATTTAGGGTGCAGGTGGAGGGTCTTTTTAATGGAATTGCTCTCATCTGGGGAAGCAGCAGTCTATCGACTGTCCTTGCCAGTGAAAAAGGACTCCCTTTGTGAGCCGAATGAAGCGGTGGATTGATGAGGCTTGCCTGCATGAAACCGGCCCAGCCTTGTCTTCTATCCGGCCCGGGGGCTTCAAAAGGTTCGTTTAGGGAGGTGTAATGTATTCATGCGTGTGAAAATGAAATGCCTCCACTGCTTTATTGGAAAACCAAACATATGTCACACTCAAGTGTTACGGCCTGAAGATCCTCCGTGTAATTGGCGACAGAAAACACAACRTAATGGATTGTTACTGTCTGTGCTGTGCATTAGCAGGATCAGAAAATATTCCCCAGACGAAAGAAAAAAATAAAGACGGAAAATGGTTACAGCAAAAAAATGGCACYGCACAGACTTTTAGTGCGACCCACTTTCTGCCYGAGAGAAATGACTCATGAGATAATTGATGGACTGTCAAAGCGATGTTTTGTCTTAGATGTGTGCTCTGCAAAAAATAAAATAAAAAAAGCACTAGTACAGAAAATCCCTTAACTGCAGGTAGCTGTGGCTGTCGAACATTCTGTATTACAGCTGATAACTTCTAAGAGTTCAGGAGACAGCCGAAAAGCTGATAAGATACTTATCACCGCTGAGGAGCTGTGGCTTTGCCCCACTTATAAAGGCTCTTACCTTTTGGCTTGCTCACAGCAAACAATGAAACCTTCTCAGCAGTCCCCCCCCMCCCCCCCATGTGTTTGTTAAATGTATAACCTGAAACACAAAACCATAAACTCTGGCAGATCAGACAAAAACCTCTGCATGATAAATGCAGTGTTAAATTTCCATTTTACATTATATCTGCAGGACTTTTGTGTTATTTTGGTGACCATTATTATCCCMKGTATTATCTAACCCCACATCAAACTGGGGGGTATGACATGAAGGGTCATGCATGATGAACTTCCTCATCAGTGAGGGGGCATTTGGTGTATGGAGGGGATGTGGGGTTAGACCAATGGCCTTTTTGCACTGCAAGGCCTAGCCTGACCCAGCCTGGGTTCAAACCCGGGGTTCATGCCTGCATTAGCCCTTATTACCCAGTTCCAGCTCAATTTCTGAAACCCCCAAGACCCGTGGTGGGTTGGCCAGGCCCACCCAATTTGATGTCAGCAATTGTTGCCCATTGAGTGGTTCACAGGTCGAGCGGTTATGTCACACAGATAAGGCTAATTTTACGTAAATTGTTTGCAATGACTGTAATGTTTTGTTTTGTTTTCTCACATTAACAACAACTGTAAGCTACCAAGCAACAACAAGCTACCATCATTAGCTTTGCTTTCAGCTGGATGGTCTCCTAGATAGCAAAATATGAGTGAATCAATGTTGAAATATGGTTAGGCATCAACATTCATCAATGTTGAAATGATACAGAAAGTGGTCGGTGACTTGCATGTTGAAACGTTAGGTTTTCAACCATAATTGATTCGTTACCAATGTTGATTTAACCTCTATTCATCCTCTCCCTTCTCCTCCTTGAGAGTGGAGGAGGAGGGGTGCGACAAACGGCATAAMATGATTCAACATTGATTAGACKTTGGCATTTCAATTATTAGARTTCCACCATGAAACAYCATTGATTCAATAACWTCTTTTCAACTTTGGTTAATAATTAGAATTGGACGATTGTTTGATGGTTGATTCACCATCAATCAACCAAAACTCAACTTTTTTGACCATAATTCAACATTGAATTAACATATTCTGTACTTTTCCTTTGAGTCTGATGTAGTCTATTGTAGTGTCGCAAACAAAATGAAATTAGATTAATGTGTTTTTAATTTGATGATCCCCACCAACATCGAGTTGTGCTCAAAGCAAACACAACCAGGGCCGAAGACTGGACCTTCTAATGCAAACATGCCAGAAGTGGTCACTGTCGGAATGGGTTGTGATAGAGGTCTCAGGCAGGCAGAGGTATTAAGAAGTTCCTTCTCTGTCCTCTCCCACGGTTTAAAGTCTGCAGCGTGTGCGTGACTCATCTGTGCTTCAGGACTCAGGCTAAAAAATAACAAGCCAACCCTGAAGCGGATACGTTCTCACCTTGAACCTCTGTTTTGTTGCAGAAAAACACTTCTAGTTTTTCTAAACTGCGTTTCCCTGCATGGTCAGGGAGAACTAGTGACCACTTCCAGTGGTCGATGGTTGAGAAGCAGGGTACGTCCTGAATATGACAAACATTTATGCTTTCACACTCAGCTGGTGACAATTTAAAGTAACTAATGAACTGAACGTTCACCTTTTTGTCTGTGGGAGGCAACTGAAGTATAACCAGGGTTTTGAACTTGTAATCTTCTAGGGTGGCAGCTCTAACCACAGCTTTTCTTTGCCACCCCCTTTTTGTGGTATGAAATAGCAAGTTCAAAATTACTTCAAGGCCATTTTGGTAATTAAATTGCCCCCCTCTAATGGAAAGTCTTTTGTCTTTTCTGTCTTCCCCTGTCTCCTCCAAGGCGGTGCAGCCATTTAACCACCATAGAGATGCCATTCATCAGGTCTGTGAGTGCTCTCATGTCCGATCATCTGTCAGAGGTGTCTTCACGTCATCGACATCCCTCCTGCCTGCTGCTTCTCAGAGTGGAGCCAGAATCAAGGTGAGGGGAGCATTTTGTTCTGCTCTCAGGAGGTCAGTCATTCCCTTTCTTTCCCTTCATCCATTCTTCCTCCTCCTCCTCCTCATCTCCCGTAGCTTCCTCACCTAATGGAGCCATCAAGGGGAATCATTGTCCAGGAAATGTGTTGTGCTTCAACCGGACAGCATCGGTCAGAGACAGGGGCTTTACCACAGGAACAAAAATGGACTCACCTGCTGCAGAGACATTACACACTGCCAATCATGTTTCCCAACTACCTGTTCAGAAACTTTGTAAGAAGAATTAGAGAATATACAAGGAGATGATTCTCTCTTTTATGCTGAAACACGACCAGTTCTTTCTATTAATATGAACACTGCTGCTTCATTTCATCTGTTGTAACAAGGATTGTAACATGATCAGCAGATGAGATCTCACCTTTAGCATCACTAACAATATATACTGTAAATGTGACCAGAATATGTATTTTAATGTAATAACGTATTTCTTGGGAATGTTTCTTTGTGAGGTACCGTATTAATTCAAGTATAATACGTAAAATGAAATCCATAAAATCATCCATAAAGTTGGGGGGTAGTTCTATGCTCGGATAAATATTTTTACTTAAGTATTTTAACTGAAATATCGGCTTCATTCACAAAATGCATGAGTCCGGAAATGAAACCACAACGTAAAAAGCAGTTGAAGCAAGCTTACCTGTGACACTGCTTTGTGCTTCAGAGCGAGATAGTAACAGATCCAGGCAGGCGACCTGATGTGGAAAAAAGAAAAAAAATTAGTCCTGCACCTTAGTAATGATAATGAACTAATGACATTAGCATGTGACCGGGCCGCTTCTGGAACAACAACAAGCATATGTTCGTCTGTAATGGCTGCCGTCTACCGGTGTTCTGAAAAAAATTGTATCCTTGAAAAAGCGTTTCCCCACCAGACGGGGCGCTCGCGACTAGKAAGCAATCTGCTTTTCCCACACAAGATGGCCCGAATCTCATGTGGTCTTTGACTTTTGTGTTGGCGCATCCTGGTGGACTATGTGTAAAATGCCAGAATTCATATGATGCTGCTACAGTTGATACATATTTGTTTTCAAAATACCTTTTAGTACATATGTTGTTAAAATAAAATGAACAGTGCAATGATCATTTTACTGAAATGTATAAAGACTGCAAAGGCTGAAAAATATTGAAGTCTGTATGAAATTGGAGGTAGTTTGAGGATTCAATTTTTTATGCTTTTTAAGCTCAAAAAGGTGAGGAGTCGTATACATGAGATCATATTATACATGCATAAATATGGTATGTGGCGCGACTTTTTAACATGCAAATGTTTTGATGCTGTGGGACTCTCTTCTGTGATGCATAAAGAACAACAAAACGAGCTCTAATGATCATATTTGTCATCTTTGCTAAATTATCTATTTCCAATAATATCCCTGAGGAACTTTAATGGGAGGCAAAGGTTTAAATCTACACACTGTCTTTAATTCAGTTCCATTCTCCGTCTGCAGTCAGTGAACTGCATAAGTGAATCACAGTGAGGCAGACGGTCCATTTCACCAAGATTATTGCTTTTCCTATTGATCTCCTGATTCAGGTCCGGCCGGAGTCTGAACATAGTTCGAATGAAATGTATACGGTGCGTAAAGAAGGACACAAGAACTCACACACCTGAGTTCTGCGCGAGCACGCACACACACACACACACACACACACACACACACACACACACACACACACACACACACACACTCAAGGTGAGTCACATCCAGCCAGTCTGTCAATGATTCATTTTAACCTAAATATTTCTCTGATTTCAGATTAGCTGATTAGCATTATTTTATTTTAGTGAAAATAACGGGGCGTATTGTCCCACCAGTTGTGTGCTCGCCAAGTACCACCATTATGGTGAACATTAAAAAGCCAGTGTTACAAGCTAACAAAGTTCTACTACTGAGGCTCAAAAAAAAATTTAGTTTCTGACAAACGATACCTAATCTATTCAAATGCCTAATTCATATTTTTAATCAAATATGTTTATTGAATTTTTTTATAGGTACATCCAGGCAGGCATAGAATGAGTCGAAACATTGGTGGAGTCTTCAGTTTCTTTAAATAGTTTYGTATCATGACAAAAAGAGAAAAGGTGTGGGGGTGAAATGAAATAATATCAAAGCTCCCAGCCCAGAATGACTAAGTCAGAAGGAAATTGTGTGAAATTAAACAGATTACAATCTGCTATAAAGTTGTAACAAAATCATCACTCTTCCGAAGTGCCACAAATGCGTGCTGTATGTGTCCCRTAATTCTGAAAACAGACCAACAGATGCTTTGGTTGCTAAATAAATTTAATATTCTTAATTTAAAAACTCCTGGACTAAAAAGAGAAGATGGGATCTATTGAGGTTTGCCAGCTTGTGCCTCACCTTTTATGCCATACTCCAATATTGTCATCAGACTGATTCAGGGTGAATCGTCAAGATTAATAATAAAAATAATAATAAAAATGCATATCTAACCCTGATTCAGTGGAGTGGTTTAAGATGGGAAGGTTTTATTAATTTACCACATACTGTACATACACTGTGGTCTTTGCTCTTTTTCTGTCTCACAACTAAAATGTTAGATAAGTTMAATTATTTTCTTTGTTTTGCACATTTTGTTGCTATCTGGTCCCATCATCAAATCCAGTTCCCACAGGGATTCTCTAAATATTCTCCATTTTTTCAAGTTCCATTTGAAAAAAAAAGTAACTTTCTTGAACCACTCATCCTTTTTAATGCTATTTTTATAGTGAAATTCACCTTGTTATCTAACTTGTTAATATTTGCTAGCATCACTAGAGAGATCCTAGGTACCACCAGTGATGCTCATAAAGGATTTTCAGAACCAAGGAATTCAAGCATCTTCTTGTGCTGTAAACAGGGACGAAACAAAGACCATTGTGGTCTCTGTTTCAAATGAGAGAGTTCGGCTTTGTCGTTCATTTTAGCTCTGTCCGGAGGAAACTTTCTGCTACGGTGCCCACACAGTATTGAGTAAGCATCTGGAATGAGTCACAGCCCTTTAATGGAAATCCATTTAGCTTTGGTCTGAAGCATAAGTCTGCGCGGGGAAGCAAAGCGTCACGCTGAGCTGAACCCCTGACTATAGCTCACCGGCGGGGAGGACAAGCAGGCACAATGCAAGGTGAAAAGACCTCAAGAAAGTGTTACTTCAACAGAGGCTGTTTTGCAAGTTATTTCCTCTTCATCAGAATACTTTTTTTATGTTTTATCTTTTGTTTTTCATGCATAGATCCAGGTATCATGAAGTGAGCACTGACATCAGTAATAGACTGAAATTGGAATATTCTTTAAAAAAAAAGATCTGATTTGAATGAAAAGAACCACGGTGGCAACAGAATATGGGGCAGAAAAATGCAGATTCATGGATCATTAATATTTACATACACATCAAGTCGAGGGAGGATTGAATTTTTGGGAGCGGGCCCTTTTATGCATGCTGGAGCTTGATTGTGATGTTGCTGCAGCCTGAGAGGCAAACTGTGAATACATTTTGAAGTGAATATTTTAATGGACACATGAAAGAAAGCCGGCGAAGGTCAGCCTCTCACTGGCGCTGTGAACGTTCCAACTCCAACTCCGTCTTTAAGGTACTAAATGAAATAAAACTGAATTATTTTTCACTGCGGCAGTGATTTGACCAAACTAATTTTTCTTTTTCAACCAAACAAAACGTGTTGTTTTCCCAGGAGCAGGGGATAATTTAGTGAAACAGCACAGCAGTGGCAAAAGCTCAGCAGTGTGATTGTCTTTGAAATGAACATGAATCTATTTTAGCAGTGCTTTTAGATAAATTGGAACACTTTCCCCCAGTTCACTTACCAGTGACCATAGGAGCCAAGTGGGCAACTTCCTGATAGAAGCCAGAGTTGTTTCTTAATTKTAAACATGTTTCTGACTGAATTAAAAGTGTCAGAATAAACAGACATTATACACATAGAGTTAATCACAGTGGTGGGGACAGTTCAAAATCTACCTCTAGCTAGCTTCTCATTAGCGAATTAGCTTTTTGGATGCTGTAAGTGGAACAATTGGCTTCTGTTAAATTGGGTTCTGCCATAGTTCATGTGTTAAACTKCTATTTTTATGCCATTTATCCCAAATTAAATAAAAACTATCCCCTTTCCACCAGGTATGTAATTTGTTCAGCGTTAGTGGAGCTAAGATTTGCAGATTACTGGTTTGTGACCTTATCTTTGTGCCCACTTCAGGTTTATCAGTGGTTCTAATAAGTTTGAGTCTCTGCACAGGTTTGTCTTTGATGAAACATTTTGTCTTTTATCCAAAAGACTTTTTCAATCTGTCTGTCTTCAGTCCGTCACTCTTTCATCTTTTGGATAAAAGACAAAACTTTTCAACAAAGAAGAACCCGTCCAGAAARGCTGACTCAGCTTTGTTCGATTTATTATTTAGATTATTGAAAATACATCAGGACATATTCAATAACGGCTTTCTGAAAGTTTCACTAAAATTTGTGCAGCAGTGACACGGTAAAAAATAGAGTGTTAAATTTGCAGTGTTAAACTTTTCAGAGGTAATTTCAGCTCCCCAAGTGTTATTTTAAGACTTTCTGAGTAAACGGACATCCAGTGTTGGTGTTAATTCACAGAGTTGATTTCATCAGTGTTGTCTCAACTCTGGACAGTGTTAAATAAGCTCCGCCCACTGATAAGTCTTGATTAACACTYAACAGTGTTGTTAAGTAACACACTGCWGTGTTGAAAGAAGTATTCTGAAAAGCCCCGCCCTCTTCCTCATGGACCAGAATTTTCCCAGCAAGGAATGCTGGGTAATCTTGTAGAAATGATGTGTTTGCATATCTAAGGCTATTAAAAATGTTCATGAGTGTAAAATTTTGTTTKTCTGGATAGTTTTCTTGTTCAGGTTGGTTAGTTTTTCAAGTTTAAGTTTTGTGTTATTTACCATAAGTCGAYACCATSAGTGAGAGGTACTTCCTGGTGTGTGAAGGGTCACACTGTTGTGTTGTTTTGCCAACTAATGACCAGTTTTAATACAACACTTCAAGAGTTGATTATAACTCTAGGATCGAGTACAGAACTCTGTGTACTCTGACTCACACTTTGTAAAAAGGAAACCAAAAAATAATGTTAGTATTACACAATAAAGCAGTGTTTCCCAAAGTTGGGGTTAGGACCAAAAGTGGGGTCCTGAAACATCAAGGTGGGGTCCTGAAAAGATTTTCTGAATAAATTACATGTTTGCCTTATTGTAACAAAGGAGTGAGGTTAGTGTATTTAAAATGGATAAATGTAGTATAAAAATATTGTTACTATGCCCATGTTTAGTTGACCTAGTGCAAATGTTTATCATCCAAAAATAGCTGGGGGCTCAGGTCTCTGCTGCTGTTATTTTGTGGGTCAAAAGCTGAAAAGTTTGGGAACCACTGCACTTTGGTTCCCAAAGTTGGGCTTGGGACCCAATTATGGGTCATGAAGCACCTTGGATAATCTCCAGAAATCAATTTAAAGGGTAATAAAATAATTGCTKATGTAATATTTTCCCTATAACTATTACAAAAACACAAAATAAGTATAAATAAGTATTTATATTTGTGTACAAGCTGTTTAGATTGTCAAAAAGCCTGTGTTTTCAGGGTTATTAATAACGTTCGTGTACTCAGACCAGTAATATTTGGGGTCACAAGTTTTTGCCATGGATATTTTGTGGGTCAGAAGACAAAAAGTTTGGGAACCACTGCAATAAAGTGTACTTTTTAAAGAAAGTTTAGTGTAAAATTAACTCCATAAAAAATAACAATATTACTCTATAGAGTGTTAACAATCTATAGTGTTAAACAATTTTACTCAATTCATTGTTGACTTTGACACTAAAATGAGTAAAATTAACTCTGAAAAGTTTACACTGGCTATAGAGTAYATTTTACACTAATTTTGAGCGGGACCAAATATTATATGAAACAGTTAAATTCAACTCTGTAGGTGTTAAAATTACACTTTGTTTTTTACTGTGTAGAGTTCTTTGATAACAAAGAAACACACAGAGACAAATTTTTATTGGCAGCTTCACCTTAAATGTATCCTTTCGCAGTCTTCATCAATCTTCTCAGACTGACAGACTGAGGGTAACWCCAGACTTGTTTTCTGTGTAAGATTACACAATGTGGTTTCCTAAATTATTATATCCATAACAACTCACTTACTTCTGTTTGCTGTTTTAGCTGAATCAGACAAACTGCTTCCCTTCACACGTTTGTCTGGCAAAAAACTCCAAACTTTGTGTAAAATTCAGTTTGTTGTTGCTCCACAAATAGCTCCTGTGAAGAAATTTTCTTGCCATACGTGCCTTTTATTTAATAATCATTCACAAAAGTCTCTTGTGGAAATCGCAATATTCCTGCCACTCACAGCGGAGTGAAAAGGATATTTTTGTCATCACTTACAGTCAATCTTTGCAAAGCTTTCTGCTCAGCTGTATGAGCTGTAAAGTGTCCGACTTTCACACCAAACTGCTGATTTGTTTGCACAAAAGCTTAAACATGCAGGGAGCATAGATATTTTAAAGGCGGTACCTTAGCTGTGTGTGTGTTTTTCTTTTTTGCTGCAGATGATTTGTAACTTCAGGTCACAGGTAGGCTTGTTGTTGTTGTTTTTTTCTCTCTCAAACAGAGCATCATTACTGCAGCTCTGTGCTSTACTTTAACRAGGCTCACACAGACCATCATCCAAGAATAATGACACTGCTGTCTGTCCTGAGYGGTTGCACCATTAAACTGGGAGAACTGACACTAAAATTATTTTATTTTGTTTTGTTTTTGTACAATCTGCACTTCAGTTTGAAGAAATGTTCCAACTTTACTTTTATTTGTTTTGTTTTACATCTTCAACAACTTCATTCTGCATTTATTTGAGTGAATTTTAATATCCATGATAGCGCCCAGGCTATACAGCAACTGTTGTTCTTTTGCAAATGTYAGCTTTCATGCTCATCCTGACAGGGAAAATGACTTGATTTGAAAAATCATCACAAACCTGACATCTACAAAAACAGATTGCACCAAACAAATAGTAATATTATGACTCAAATATAGGAGTTCTGCAGATTCACATGAAACCTGTCTAATTAACATCTGTCTCCAGCTCTCACTGGAAATAAAAAACACAAATGTTTTAACTTCAGAGCCATTCTGATCRTAAAGCAAACTGTCTGATCATACACGCTGTTTTCCCTACATTTTCTCTGTTAAATAAACTCTACAATACAGGAGTCCTTCAGCAACATCTAGTGGAATCTTTTAGATTTCAGCGACAAAAACTGAAAAGTCAAAAGCTTTTCTGTGTRGAGAAAACTGAAGTAAAAATGAACTGTGTTCAGGTTTTAAGTCTTAGGGAAAGCTCCTGTAAATTCTTACCATTATAATAATAGCTTATCTTGTGGTGTAATCAACCTTTGAATTCTAGTTCCCAGTTTGAAGTCTCGACAGCTATTTTTCACTCTATGATTCAGGATTGAACGTAGTTAAACCCAAACTCTCGTGTTCTTGTGTTTCACAGCCTGAGGCCTCTCACTTCCTTATTTTATCATCTCCATCAACATTTTTGAAAAGATTTTTGATAAACTGCAATGATTTTATTTTAGATTTAGTATTTTTGAGATATGTTTGTTGCCTCCTTGAAGTCTTGCTTTTTAAAGCTGTGCCATCTTCATAAGGACATTGCAACATATTAAGCAATTTGGAAAAACGTGTAATGAATTGTGAAGATTTTCAGTTTGATTTCATTTTTTTTATTTAACCACTTATGATTTTTCCCACCCCCCCAGGAACTGAAAAATACACGAGACCACCAGTCATAAAAAAATATAGTGTTAGTCACTTTTTGAACTTGGCTGAAAAATCCAATGTTTTTGACCAAATTTTAGCAGAATTGAAAGAGGAAAAAAAAGAAAGTATTCACAATCTTTCAAGTTGTATTACTTATGAATAGAGGAAAAAGAGACCAATCTATAATTTTCTAATAATATAAGAAAACATTTTTGTTAACTCAGGTATTTGAAAGAAAATTCCCACATGTTGAACATTTTCAGCTCCAGGTAGGGTTAAGTCAGTTCAGGGTGTTAAAATATAATCTGGGCTGGGTTTTTTGTTCTACTTGAATAAATAAAGGCAGCACACTGGAGAACAGAAAAGTGAAAAAAATGAAATAAATTCCAACAAGTTTAGGTGAACAGCTGGCTACAAGCTGAATCTTTAGGCGAACACCACCATCTGCTGGAAAACACAACAGACACATACAAAGGCAGGCCAGAACTCACATCCTTATCAGGTGATGAAGAGCATTGTTCATGGATGAAGGTTTAACTTCATGATTCCTATCTTATCCTGAAGCGTAGGATTTTTATTCTCAAAAACAAATGCTATTAAATGTCCAAAATATGTTGATTTTTTTTTGTTATTGAATTTAATTTGAAAGAACGGGAGCCAACGTTATTTCATAAAAGTTTTTATTCATAAACTTGATGCAAGTTTACAAATTCCTTTACATTGTCAAAATCACCCTTGCAACTGGAAAAAAAAAAGCAAAAAAAAAAAAAAAAGCATGCGAACAGTGCATAACTTTTCTAACCCGGCCACCGCAGTTCATGAAGCAAGGTAAGGAACCCAGAATCAGGCATGTTCAGTCGGGTGTCGTGTGTCAGAAACAGGCTGCCGTCAGTGCACTGGATTTTTCAGAACATCAGCCGTGTGATGCGTTACATTTTGATCTGACGGCACACAAACCTCAGCTGCTGCTGCTGCTTTTCTTGGGAATCATCTTTTAAAAAGGTAGTAAGGTCCGAGGAGGCAAGATAACGTGTCTGACCGGTGCACTGATGAATGCTCTGGGAAACCACTAAACAAGTCATGAAAAGATGGGAAGCATCTACTTTTTCTAATCATCCAATAAAGCCACTCTGTCATCCGCAACGCTGTGGGGAGAACAACAAAAAAAAAAAAAAAAAAAAAARAAAATACCCATTGCCATGTTGACATGCAAAACACAGCAATATCAAAGAGAAAGGTACGTGTGCTCTGAACCCCTCGTTGACGAGGCCAGCATATTCTGAGGGTTGGAGCCATCTCTGCTCACTCTAATGGACCGTTCAAAACCACTTGATTAAAAGTCTTTAGCCTTCAGAGGAACATGTGGAATGYAACAATACAATGTCTGCAGGGAAAACAAGGGCGTTGTTTAAAAACTGGAAGAGGGGCAAAACAAATAAAAAACAAATACAAAAAAAAATCGAGACATTCAATCTTGCCATTTGTGCAGGACTGAACCAATCTTTTGCAAAGTGGAGCGTGCACTTATGTATTCCTGAGTTTGCTTGTCTGGAAAATGCAACGGTGGGGGAGAAACAATTTGGCCAAAATGTTGGGGAGGGGTAATCTGTACAATACAAACGCACATTACAACAGCTAACAACCATGCCTACGATCTGTAGATTACTGTATAAAAACAAATACGTTTTTTGTCATATTCTCGAAGAAAATGTCAGATGTGCCGAGTATGAATCTTCGGTTTCGACCCATCTGAGAGAAACGCCCGAAATTAAAAAAAAGAAAAAAAAAACTGACTGCGTGAAATGGAGTAACTAAGCCTTTTAACTCTGGTTATCGGGACAATATATTTAAACCAAATGCGAACACCCACAAATGTGTAGCCGCATTAATTGGAATGCTCCACGCAGTTTTCTGCATATTATTCACATTACATCAAAGCCTTGGCACACTGTGGGGGTATACAGCTGTGCTGAGAGTGGTCATGAATAGTAACCAGAGAAGTGGTAATGGGATGAGATGTGTTAATTTTTTTTTTTCCTGTGGCAAATCGGAACAAATATTTATTAAACCTGAACAAATCATTCTGGAAACACAACAGACTCCAGGTGTGTGAAGCTAAATGTTAGCGGAGGAAACTATTGCTGTGAATCTGTAACGCTGCTTTTTTTTGTTGTAAAGAAAGAAAAACAAACAGCCGTGAGGTCAAAAAGGAGTCAGAAGGTTAATTCCCCACCCCACCCCCGACAAAGACAGCTAAACTAGCGTAGTCAGAAATCAGAAATAGCTTTAGGAACCAAGCAGGAGATAACGAAGCTGTTTAACGTTCTTCATTTCAACAGAAACTCCATAAGAATGTGTCCGTGCTGCATAGCCTTCCTGAGGTTCAGCTAGTTTGAGTGATATGAATGTCCAAACCTTTGGTATGCCACAGACAGCTGACATCATTGTTATGAAGCCATCAAATGAAGGGAGGGGTGGAATTGTCATGGTTGCCCAAAAGAAAAACAAAGGATTAGAGGTCAACAAAAATACAAACCGTAACTGCAGTAGTCATTAAGTTTACACAGGAACRTGGTGAACTTTTGTTTCCTTCTGATACTTCAAAAGCATCTGACTTTTTTTTTTCTTTTTTCAAATGGGTCCTAAGTTGCAGCGCCCCTGCAATTAATAAATGTATATAGTATTACAGTCTCTGCMCAGCCAAAGACCTACACAAGGTTACATTATAAACAAGTCCTTTAGCAGAAATACAAATTTACATGTTTACAGTGGAGTTAAAATCAGTTACATTACAGTGTGATCCAATCCAAACATGCCCCTGCTTTGCCTGATCATGTTCGTTACGCTGCCAGACGAGTCCCACKTCTAACCTCTCCTGCAGAGAGTTGCCCTGCTGCCGCTGGTTGGGATGATGAGGACGAAGGTGAAGCTGAGGGTTTTTTCCTCTCCAAGTCTGAAAAGTCAGCAGCGCGCTGTTCTTCCCAACGACCCATCCCAACCAGCCTGCGAAAAAAAAAGTCCTCATCGTTGTCCTCCCCTCCTCGGTCTTTCCAAAGAAACAAAAAATAAAAAGAGGTGTAAAAGTCATCCAGCCTCAAAAGTCATGCTGCACCTTTCGACGCCAAGCCGGCAAGTAACCTTTTGACATGCTTGATGCCAAAAACCAAAAGTGTGAAGCTGAAGGATGTTTTTGTTTGCCAAATTCGTGAGGCATAGGATGACTATAAAATAAAAAAAAGACTTCTCCAAACAACAGATAAACAAAAAGATGAGTTTCTGAAGAGAGGACAACATTGCAGGTAGCAGCAGTGTCCGTTTGTAGGTGGAGATGAGCGGATCTGAGTCTGGGTGGGTTTTGGGGGATCATTAAATGAGGAATTTGGTTTGAAGTTCAAACGGCCACGTAAAGAACAATATTATTCGCAGGCTAAAAATGATATTGGTCACACAAAAAAAAGGGGAAGAAGAAAAAAAATCTAAGACATGTGGTCCCAGGGCAGGAAAGGCAACAGTCTGTATTAGCCATCCTCTTTAGGGGGTGTGTACCAACCTAAAAAGAAAAGCAGAAAACACACAATGAACACGCAATAATGACAAAAAATATTACTTTATACTTTATTTCGTCTATTTTTTTTTTACCTTTATTTAACCAGGTAAGTCCCGTTGAGATCTCAGATCTCTTTTTCAAGGGAGGCCTGGGCCTGAAGGCAACCT